ACACACACACACACACACACACACACACACACACACACCCCTACTACCAGTACCAGCACCACAAACAACAAAAGCCACAAGACCTTATCTAAAAAGTAACTAAACAAAAGCCACAAGACCCTATCTAAAAAATAACTGAACAAAAAAGGGTGAGGGCATGGTTCAAGTGGTAGTGCTCCTGCCAACAAGAGATCAATCCCCAGTACTTCTAGAAGGAAAGATGGAGACAGAGAAACAGAGACAGAGAAAGAGAAAGCAGAGCGAAGAGGAGGGGTGGGAGAAGGAGAAGGAGAGAGGCAGGGAGAGGGAGAGACAGACGGTGAAGGAGGAGGAAGAAGAGGAAGAGGAAAGAGAAGGGGAAGAGGAGGGGAGAGAGAGAGAAGATCTGGACAAAATTGGGATAAGTAAAGGAGATGTTGCTTCTTGGAGGAGAAATTCTAACAAGAAAAAAACCTGAACACATACACACACACACACACACACACACACACACACACACACACACAGAAGCTCACCGAATCAAGGATGGTGAGAAGAGCTGAAGGGGTGTCAAGTTTTCATGACAGACTTTGAACAACAGCCTTGTGGCTCCCCTCCTCCCTTCCCTCCGCCCTCTCAGCCCTGCCAGTTGGGAAATGGACCTCTTGGCTCAGGGCCTCATTCACATCCTGGCCACGGTGGCTCCCAGAGGCCCCTGGGAGGCGCTGGGCTGGCTCTGCCTGGGGGAACAGGATTCTGGCCCCTCCCACTCATGGACCTTCCTGGGAGACCTTCCAACCTGGAGCTGAGTGAGAGATTGCCCACAGCCCCTGCGATTCCTGTGTGCCTAGCAGTTGGAAACATTGTTTGGATGGCAGCTTCCAGAGACACTGCTCGCCTTTCCACAGCCAAGTCCTAGACTATTTTTACCAGCCACACTGGCCACTTGGGACAAGTGATATTTGACCACGTTCAATAAAATTGAGTAATAATTTTTTTTTACCACATCCAAGACTTGTATAAATATTTGTGATTTGTTCAAAGCCATCAGTGGATTTTTTTTTAAAGAAGCACAGAACATTAGTTTCAAAGGACTGAAATTTAGGATTTGGAAGTGCTCTGGCTAGAACTGGAGGGGACCCGGAGCCCTCTAAAAGAAAGCTCAGATCCTGAGGAATATGTGTTTGTTTTGTGACTTATCGTATCTCTTTTCTTCTCTGGTTATTTTCCACATCTGGATTCTCAACCTTGTGCACTGCTGAGATGTTACCAATGTCATTCCTGTGCTTTTGAGTTTCAGGTTAAGATGGAGTCCCCTGGGTTTTTCTGTTAGGGCTGGCAGAATCTTAGATCCTTTTTTTTTTGTTCAGTTGTGGGGCCTGAACTCTGGGCTTGAGTGCTGTCCCTCAGCTCTTCAGCTCAAGGCTAGTGCTCTACCACTTGAGCCACAGTGCCACTTCTGGCTTTTTCTGCTTACGTGGTGCTAAGGAATTGAACCTAGGGCCTCATGCATGCAAGGCAAGCACTCTACCACTCAGCTACCTTCCCAGCCCAAACTTGGATCCTTTTGCATTCAGCCTCTTGAGTAACTGGGATTACAGGCATGAGCTGCCTGGTGTCAGGCCCTCTAAGGTATTCTAATTTTTTTTTTTTTTGGTCGGTCATGGGGCTTGAACTCTGGGCCTGGGCGCTGTCCCTTAGCTCTTCAGCTCAAGGACAGCACTCTACCGCTTGAGCCTTAGCACCACGTCCGGTTTTCTAGTGGTTTATTGGAGATAAGAGTCTCACAGACTTTCCTGCCTGGGCTGGCCTTGAATGGCGATCCTCACATTTCAGCCTCCTGAGTAGCTAGGATTGCAGGCGTGAGCCACCGGCACCCGGCTTCCTCTAAGGTATTCTTGCAATAATATAACCATAGTTAGATCAGTCTTCTAGGTTTAGCCATCAGCTTGTAGAAAGTACAAGGGGCATCAGGACACTTGAGTGACACAGATGTGATGTAATTAGCAAAATCTAATGTGGGAAACTGTCGAGGACAAACGTGTCTCCTCAACAACATAAAAATGGGAGAACTGCATGTCATCTAGCTTGGCTCACAGAGAGGAAATATAAAAACGTATCATGCAGTTAGGACATTCAGATACTGGGTGCATGGGTTTTTGGGTATGATAATATTGTAATTGTGCTTATTTCAAAAATATGTATGTATCAGGTACACAGGGAAAATTGTAGGTGACAATTATATGTGTGGAATTTCCTTGAAAATAATCCAGTGAGGAAATCAGAGAAAGGATTCCCAATTAAGTGAGATTAGCCATGAGTTAAAACTTCAAGCAAGGCTAGCCAGGCATGGTGGTACTTGTCTATAATCCCATCACTCTCCAAACTGAAACAGGAGGATTACAAATTTGAGGCAAGCCTGGGCTACGTATTGAGACCAATATCAAAGCACACATACACACAAAAAGCATGACTGATAGGTACATTATACTATTCTATTTTTGTAAATCATTATTTTGTATTCCAACCATTTTCATAATCAAAAGTTGCCAGGTGCTAGTCCTTATGCCTGTATTGCCAGCTACTGGGGAGAGTGAGTCCCGGAGAATTGTAGTTCAAAGCCACACCAGGCAGAAAAAGTCCTCAGGACTCCATCTCCAGAATCACCAGCAGCAAAGCAGGCAGGTATGATTCAAGGGATAAAATGCCAGTCAAGCATTAGTCACCAATGTGCTAATCAGCAGTGGTTACATAAACAGATTGTGGTTCTCACACAGTAGGAAACAAGCTACATAGCTGTACCAAGAAGGGAGGCAGAGCCCAAGGTCGGGGCTCACACCTGTCATCCTAGCTGCTCAGGAGGCTGGGATCTGAGGATCGAGGTTCAAAGCCAGACTGGGCAGGAAAGTCCACGGGACTCTTTATCTTCAATTAACCACCAAAAGGTCAGAAGTGGAGGTGTGGCTCAAGTGGTAGAATGCCAACCTTGAATGAAAAGCCTAACAGACTGTGCCTAGGCCAGTGGAGTTCCCCTGAAATGGCCCCATTCTAATGAAGCACCCCATCCACCCTCATCCAAGGAACTGGAGGTCCTGAGAGAGGTCCTCTAGAAAGCCCACTGCAGAACCTCTCAGGCTCTGGGCCACCAGGCCGGCCAAGCCCTGCCCTTTGCCCTGGGCACCTGTCTGTCTCTCCAGGGGCAGTGCTGGCCGCTCCTGGGGCACTGGTCTTTGTGATCTTGGCATCTATTATTCCCAAGGAGATGGGCTGGGGATGCAGCCTTCCCTGGCTGCCACGCCCTGCCTAGCCAGTGGACCTCGGCCCTCCAGCCTCCTCTCCCCAGTGCACCCAGGCATTGCTCCTCTACTCCTGCTCACCTCTCCCACTTGGTCCTCCTGCCCACCATGGCCTCCCCTTTCCCCCTGTCATTTCAGTGTCTCTTTGTCTTAGCTCCTTGTTTGCTTTTGTTTCCCCAACACCCGCCCTGATATTTCTAGGTTCCTGCCTCTCCCCAGAGCCTCTTTGTGTCTCAGCTTCTCCTTCACTCCTGATTCTCTTCCCTCTGGCCTTTCTCTTTCCCTTTCCCTTCTCTCTTTGGTGCCAGTCCTGGGGCTTTAACTCAGGGCTTAGGTGCTGTCCCTAAGCTTTTTCGCTCAAGGCTAACTCTCTACCACTTGGAATCACAGTGCCACTTCCGGCTTTCTGCTGGCTCGTTGGAGATAAGAGGTTTTGGATTTTCCTGTCCGAGGTGACATTGAATCCTGATCCTCAGATCCCAACCTTCCAAGGAGCTAGGATTACAGGCATGAGCCAGCAGCACCGATGATGGCTGTTTCTATCGTTATTTCTCTGCACTTTGCTTTCCCACCACCACCACCACTATCATCATCATTATCCATCCTCTCTCTTTCCTTCTTTTCTTCTGTCTCTCTGTGTCTCTGTCAATCTCCCTCCCTTCATTGTGTCTGTCATCTGTCTGCCTGTCTGTGTGTCTGTCCTAGCTGGTCAGATGCGGGTCTCCCTGGCTCCCTGCCCGCACCCCGCACTGGGGTCTTCACTCACCGGCCACGACCTCGCCGGCGCGGAGCAGGGCGAGCCCGGCCAGGGCGCAGAGCAGCGGCCGCATGGTGCGGTCTGTCCGTCCGTCCGTCTGTCCCCGGTCCGCGGCCGCCCTTTCCCTCCCTTCCCCAGATCCCGTCGCCGGCCGGGCGGGCCTGGAGGGAGGAAATGCTCCAAGTCCATGCCAAAATTCCTGGGCGGCTCCGGGCTTCCAGATCCAAAAAACCCGCCCCTTCCAGAGGCCCGCGACCTCCCCAAGACCGGGCTGCCCTGCCCTGCCTGCCCTTTCCCCTGCCCTCCCCTCCCGTGCGCGGTGGTCGCCGCCTCCCGCGGGGGTGGGGGTCCCCGAAGGGGGCGGGAAAGGCTCTGGATGTTGTCCAGGGGATCGGGGTTCCTGGTGAGCCCGTTTCCCAGGGGGTCCACTGAGCCCAGGGTGGAGCGCTTTGTTCCCCTACCTGGAGGGTGTGAACCCAGGAATGTGGACATCTCTTCCACCTACTGCCCGGGAACATCCAACAGGGTTTGGCCAGAGACAGATCTCCATCACAATCTGTGTGTTCTGGTCCTGGGGCTTGAACACAGCACTGGGCACTGTCCCTGAACTTTTTGGCTAAAACCTATTGTTCTCCCATGTGAGCTCCACTTCCTTTTTTTTTTTTTTTTGGTGGTTAATTGGAGATAAGAGTCTCACAGACAGCGAGGCGCTGGTGGCTCACGCCTGTAATCCTAGCTACTCAGGAGGTTGAGATCTGAGGATCACGGTTCTAAGCCAGCCCAGGCAGGAGAGACCCTGAGACTCCTATCTCCAATAAACCACCAGAAAACCGGAAGTGGCGCTGTGGCTCAAGTGGTAGAGCGCTCGCCTTGAGCTGAAGAGCTGAGGGACAGCGCCCAGGCCCAGAGTTCAAGCCCCGCGACCGACCAAAAAAAAAGAGTCTCACAGACTTACCTGCCAGGCTTTGAACTGGGATCCTCAGATCTCAGCCCCCTGAATAGCTAGGATGACAGGTGTGAGCCACCAGCACCTGGCTAGACAAACTTAATGCTTTCATCATGAAGTAACGGCGCTGTTAATAAAGATAATTTTCCAGCAAGAATGCAAAACTCGTGACTACCATTCAGATACAAAACGAGACTGGACTTAGAGATCTCTCTCAACTCATTAGCAAAGGGACAAGTGAGTGAGCTACCACAGCCTGTCCTAGGAAAAATGGACCTGCAATGCTATTTGGTTGAGTAATGAAACAAAACCTCCCAGAGAGGCAGAGAGGAATCAAGTGTGGCCCCCACACACAGAATTTGCAAAACTGAACACAAGAATAATTTTGCATTGTCACCAGTTATGTGTAGTTTGCAAACTTGTAAAATAGTTTAAAAGCCTGGGAAGGCACAGAGATCCTATAACAGAAAAATCAAGCTGGTCCACTTGAGTAAAATGCTGAAGTCCTTTCCGGGATATTATTAAGTGGACCCTGGGGAAGAAGTAAAAGGAAGTAATTCACATAGTCACCTAGAGCTTCTGTCCTGCAATGGGTTCACACTCTGGTGATCACAATGGAGGTAGTAGAAAGCACTGGTGAAATGTCCCTGGGCAAATCATTGTATCTTGTTCTGTAGATTAAGAAACTGAGGTCCAGTGGGGAGCCAGTGGCTCACGCCTGTAACCCTAGCTACTCAGTAGGCTGACATCTGAGGGTCACAGTTCAAAGCCATCCTGGGCAGACAAATCTGAGAAACTCTTATATCAAATGGAGGGGAATCTGCCAGGGGTGTGATCTCCTGACTCATGCCAAAAGGCAGGGAGGCCAAGGGAAACAGAAAATGGAGGCTGGTTGTCTGTGGCATGAGGTGAATTGGAAATGTCAGTCGCTGGGGGGAAGGAGGAGGGCAGGAGCTGTACAAAGCCCTCTTGTCTTCTGCTTTTGGCACAGGCAGGGATTTCCAGAGCCATGCGAATAAGGAGCCACTTCCGGAGAGCCCTCTATATATCCGGCACGGCTGCATCCTCTCTGCTGTACAGAGGGTGGCTGGTAGCCTGAGGCCCACAGAAGTTACAGCCAGCTACCTACTGTAGACAGATGTGCGTGCGGTCATCTCCAGTGGGGATGGGGAAAGGAAGAAGACTGGAGATGTTCAGATTTAAGATTTTCTTCTTGCTTCTTTTGTTGGTCATGGGGCTTGAACTCAGGGTCTGGGAGCTGTCCCTGAGCTTTTTTCTTTGGTCAAGGCTAGTGCTCTACAACGTTGAGCCACAACTCCACTTCCAACCTTTTGTGGTTAATTGGAGATAACAGTCTCGTGGACTTTCCTGCCTTGGCTGGCAATCCTCAGATCCCAGCCTTCTAAGTAACTAGCATTACAGGCATAGCCACTGGCACCTGGCAAGACTTAAAAAAAAATTCTGTCTAGGGTCTCTCACTTTCACATGCTTTGTTTTACTTAAGGCTGGTGCTCTACCTACTACCCGAGCCATTTTTTGGTTATAATTATTTCTTCAGGTAGTATCTCTCTTTTTTTGTCCCAAGCCAGCCTCATACCTCAATCCTTCTATGTCTTCCATGTAACTGGGGTTACAGACAGGTACCATTAGGCCAGGATTTAGGTGGGAGGATCTCACTAACTTTTTGCCTAAACTAGCCTCCAATAGCCATCCTCCTAATCTCCAACTCCTGAGTAGCTGGGATTACAGGTGTGAGTCACTAAGTCCAGCCCAGGAAAGCTCACCTTAGAGGAAAGAGCTTTCTGAAATGCTGGTATTTTCCTGTCATTTTGCCTGGGTACAGGTCACCTAGGTGTGTTTAATACTTTTCTTTTTTTCCTGTGTGTGCCAGTTGTGGGACTTGAACTCGGGGCCTAAGCATTATCCCTGAGCTTTTGTGCTCAAGGTGATTGTCAGCTACTTGAGCCATAGCTCCACTTTTGACTTTTTGGTGATTAAGTAGAGATAAGAATCTCGGGCTGGGAAGGTGGCTCAGTGGTAGAGCGCTTGCCTTGCATGCCTGAGGCCCTGGGTTCGATTCCTCAGCACTACATAAGCAAAAAGAAAAAAACCAGAAGTGGCGCTGTGGCTCAAGTGGAAGAGTGCTAGCCTTGAGCTGAAAAGCTGAGGGACAGTGTCCAGGCCCAGAGTTCAGGCCCCACTACTGGACCCCCCCCCCCAAAAAAAAGAATCTCACAGACCTTTTCTGTCCAAATTGGCTTCAATCTGTGATCCTCAGATCTCAGCTTCATGAGTATCTCAGATTATAGGTGAGAGCTGGTGACCAGCAGGTGTGTTCAATACTATAAATGTATGTCTTCTCTGTGGAAGCAGCACAGGGAAAGAGAAGAGGGTCGGTCAGGGGAGGCTCCTGAGCCAGAATGGGGAGAAGGAGGGGGCTTTAGTCAGGAGGTTATACCGACCCCTCAGTTACCAAGAAGTAAACAGTCTGGGACTTTTCTCCAAGTATTGTCTTCTTGCCTTTTAATTCTTTAAGATGGGTGAAGAGAAACTCATTTCCCCAATGGTATCAATCAAGGGAGAGAATGAGACTTTGATATCCGGGGCTTCCTTTGTAATGAAGAACCTCTATCCTATGTGCTGTTGAAGATAATTTTGTTCAAAGATAAAATTATGATCCAAGTATTGGTGGCTCACATCTGTAATCCTCGCTCCTCAGGAGGCTGAGATCTGAGGATCATAGTTCAAAGCCAGTCCTGGTGGTAAAGTTTGTGAGACTCTTATCTCCAATAAGTTACTCAGAAAAAGCCAGAAATGGCACTGTGGCTCAAGTGGTAGAGTGCTAGCCTTGAACAAAAGCAGCTCAGGAACAGAACCCAGGCCCAGAGGTCAAGCCCCAGGACCAGGGGAAAAAAAAGATAAACTTATTACTCCCAAACAGATATGAAATGAACACATACTCAGGACCGTCTTGGAGTTCAGTGAGAAAACCAGAGAGATTACAATGGACTGAGTGGGAAAGCCAGAAAGCCCAAATGGACCTAAAGTGGAGGAATGTTGAAGTAAATTCACAAATGGAGCCCAAAGCAGCAGCTTCAAGGCTGGGGAAAGGAAGTCAGGGGGATCTGAGCTGGTCTATGCAAGATGGGCAGGCTTAGAATCAGAGCTGACTGCATTGCTCTCATTATCTGCTCCTTCCAGGAAATAAAACCAGCTAATGAGGAAGGCTGGGGTGTAGACAGTACTACATAGTGTTGAATTGAAGGCAAGTTGTCTACAGGTTCCCTTCCTTTGACCAAAAATAATTGTATCTGCAGGCAGTTCATACCTGTAATTCTAGCTGCTCAGGAAGCTGAGGGCTGAGGATCCAGGGTTGAGGCCAGGCTCAAATATATATTGGTGTATGTGTGTGTATGTTGGTTCTGGGGCTTGAACTCATGGCCTGGGTACTGTCTCTGAATGGGTTTTGCTCCAGCCTAGCGACAGCTCTACTTCTGGCTTTTTGGCAGCTTATTGGAGGTAAGAGTCTCATGGACTTCCCTGCCTGGGGTTAGCTTGATTCTCTTGATTAGCTAGGATAACAGGCACGAGCCAAGTACGTGGCCAACCTTCTAGTTTTATGTGATCATTTAGCATTGGAGCTTCTTTTTTCATGAGTTGACCCTTTAGCTCTGATAGGACTGGGTTTCTTATCTCCCTCCCATGAGGAAACTCAGGTTACTGGAGAAGCCTTTTGATATTGCTCAGTGGGATTCACTCCACATGCTTATTTGCTCCTTCCCTTCCCTTCCCCTCCCTCCCTCTCTCCCTCTTTTTCTCCTTCCTTCCTTCCTTTCTTCTTTCCTTCCTTCCTTCCTCCCTTCCTCCTTCCCTCCCTCCCCCCTCTCTCTTTCTTTCTCATTCTTTATTTCTGTCCTGGGACTTGAACTCTGGGCACTGTCCCTGAGCAGTTCTTGCTCAAGGCCAGCTCTCTACCGCTTTGAGCCACAGCACCACTTAGGTTTTCTAAGGGTTAATTGGAGATAAAAGTCTCATGGATTTTCCTGCCCAGGTTGGCTTTGAACTGTGATCCTCTGGTCTCAGCCTTCTGAGTAGCTAGGATTACAGGTGTGAGACACCAGTATCCTGCTATGTTTGTAGCTTTGAGCTCCCCTACCTTTTCTCTCTCTTCT